CTGCAAACCTTGTCTCTGGTACTGGATTGTTCAGGAAAATAAAAGCAAGTAAACTCTAGGACAGTCCCGAGGTGTTTTAGAAATAACACACACGCAAGCAACGCTTATGCTATTTTAGCCATTTCATTGTCGAAATGCTATCACAGTTTAGCAACTCCTAGACATCAGGCAACAGTTCAGCAAACCTCGCTTAGTTTGCAGATTTCTTAAAACCAGGAATGCCAAAGATTTTTCTTCTGCCAAATTAGGGGAAGTCAGCCAAATGGAAAGGTGTAAATCCTGTCCCTTTGTGTACTCAGTGCCTCTAGCCGTTCTCAGGACCTGGCGGAGGTTGAAGTTGCCTGCTATTAGCAACTAGAAAAAGCATGAGGCAGCATGCCAGCTTCTAAATTAAACAAACAAAAATCCTTTTCTTGTTAACTTTTCAAAGATGTGTATATTTCTTTCACACCTAGCGCTCGATACATGGTCAAGTTTAAGTGAGCAGCTGGAAAAGTACCAAAGACTTATATACACTTACATTGCTAAAAGAAAGGCTGCATTTTTGAATGCATCCCAAGGATCTAGGAAGACATCCCTCGCTCCGTCTCCGGGCCAGCTGGACTATTAGGAGTTGGGAAGATTTTTGATCAGAGTGGAAAGTCCTAAAGATCATTTCACAAGCCCCATCAATCAGCCTAATGCTGGCCCAGTTGCCATAGCAGAAACATGTCTAAAGAATTTTTCAATTAGTTAAAAGGGTGATTCATTTCATTGTAGATTTTCTCTCAGGAAGAGTGGCATGGGTTTGTTGTTTGTTTTTTTTAAAATTTTTTATTTAATGCTGCTTTCACATTTCAGAACTGCCCTGACTTCAAGGACTTATCCCAATGAACAGTCAGACATCCAAAAAAAGCCCTTATTCAAATACATCTGTCACCCTAAATAACATAGTCCGAACAATTCTTCACCATGGGTAAGAGAACACATATATAAATGCATTTCTGAAAGGGGGAGAAATGATTAAAAGTGACTTGTTTATTGAAGTTTTGTGTAACGTATCGCTGGTACATCACATACAGGAGCTGTGGTGTTACCACATACACTCGGGTCCCAGTAAATAGAGTACTGGGCTGTTTAAAGAGTGACATACGGTGCTTACTGACAAGAGAACATGTATAGATGCCTATGAGAAGAAATGCTATGACATTCCAGAGTTGCTTTTTAGTATTTGTAGGAAAGCATCCAGAAAGAAGAGAAGAGCATCAAAGTCTGGCTCTGCATACCTTCTGCCAAACTCCTAAAAAACTCGCTAGGAAGCCAGTATGGTCTGAAGAGCGCTAAATAGCTGAAAAAAACATGTGGTGAAATAGATGCGATTCCTTCTGTAGGGAAAATTGATTTTCTAGTCATATCTCCCCAGAGCCCAAACCATTAACACTCTGTCTCTCTCTTCGTGGCTCCTCTTCCACTTCTCCTCTCTTTCCTAGATACTCGCCACCAAAAAAAAAAATCCAAGCCAGCCTTCCCTGCGTAGAAATCTACACCATACCAACCAATCCTTCACGTACCTCTGCCAAGCTCTTTCCACGCGTGTCAGCATTAGCTTATGACATTATTTTTAGGATTTTCCCTTCTGATTGAAACTTTTTGCACTAACCTCTGTGACTTCCCCTTCCTGTGCGCAGCTGCCCCAGCCATCAAGGTCTTTGAAACTGCCACAGCGCTGAACGCAAACCGGAGCAAGGCAGGAGGCTCTCATTGTTGCAAAGTCGTTACTTGTGCCAGATGTCTTTCTTTAAGAATATATTTTTATATATATATATACACACACATATATACACGTGTGTATATATATATATTTTTTATTCTCAGTAGAGAGTTCTAGTTTGCTTACCAACAAGACATGGCTTAAGACCTACCTCCTCATTCACAGTAGCATACGTATTACTGACACATCTCTTAAAGAGGCCTTCTAAACATGAAACTTAAACACTTAATTAAAAATTAATATGCCTTTCAGGCCTAGTTGCACATGAAATCCATTGGAGCCCAGCTGCTGCATGTGGCGAGGAGGTGCCAAGCTGGCTGTCAGATGCACACAGTGCTTGATCAGACTCATTGCTGACAGGAGCTTCATCCAAGGTCTCATTTCTGCAGCCATGAGGAAAAAAGACGTCTACTTTAGGTTGTCAGGAATTTAACTATTAGAGCAGGATTTTTACTCACAATGTTTTCTCCTTGGTATTACGCGATGGGTGGAACGCAGAGGATTTTGCTCTGTGTTTTAATGACCTGTGGCAATGGCAGAAATTGTCATTCAAGGATTTCCCAGGCCTACGAGAATGACTTGGCTTGAAGGATTGTGCGTCCAAACAAACAGATTACCTAATAAAATCTATTACTTTCCTGGTGCTCGTCAGTCCTAGTCCTATGAATCAAGAGCTCTGTTGGGTAATCCTGCGTCTTAATTATATTTTGGTGACATGCATGGATTTGAAAGATTCTTCAGGATTACTTTGACCACAAAGTGCTGTGGTGCTGGATGGCTGTTCAAACAGCTCTGCCTCATTTTCCCTTTGTTTAAGCATTGTGCAAGGAAGTATTTACAATGCACGAGAAGATGCAGGGATCATAGGAACAATCCTGAATGCGGGACAGATTTTTGGATAATCATGACATAAACAGTACTTGTCAGAAGGGCCCAAAGCCTGGGCAGCCTGCGTGACAGCAGCGACCTTGCTGCTCAGGGCCAGGCGCTGTTTTGGCATCAGAATATTCCATTGCTATTCCCACCTCTTATCCCCAAAGCATGGGAACCAAGGCATATAGCTGAGGATGTTAGCCTATATTAGAAAAACAGCCTCAAAAGGTAGTCTAATATTTCTTACTCAGTTAACAATGCTCTCACTTTAGGTGTGGAAGCAGGCAATGATATCTCCTCTTTAATGCCCATACTTACAGGTGAGGCGAGGGAAGACGTGTTGCCCTAGAAGCCCCAGCAAGTTCCATACATAAAACGGCACTACAATTTTTGGTAGCTGCATGTTGCCACAGGGCAAAATGAGGAACGAAGCTGTTGGCTTAGGGGCAGCAAAGGGAAGTCTGGTAAGCAGCGGAAGCCAATGTAACTTAGAGTCTGTCATCTCAATGGCCAGTCCTTTGAAAGACTTGGTGCCATAGATTTGGGTTGGCTTTACCTGTGATATTCCCTCCTGCATCTCTGCTTTCAGCTGTAGTTCAGGTTACAGCAACTAGCCTATACACGTTACTGGACAGCAGGATTACTGTTGTTTTTAATGTATTACACCATCAGGCAAGCTGTTGGGACAGAACAGCTGGACAAGTTGGAGCTAGCCTCCTCCCAATTAGCTGCTTGGTGGTTCTGCTTCTCAGTTAGAAACTCGCATCTCTCCAGTTTTACATTCGTACTTGCTTATTTCAGCTAACAAAAGAAAGTCCAGAGTACAGATCTGATGGCCAGCAGCTCTGGAGTTACATGCTGGATCATCTCCCCTATACCCCATTGCACGTTGCACTGCTTTTCTGTTTTCCCTTAGGAAAACGTGGACACCACCATTCACCTGCATTACAAGCATCACTTGTACGAGGCTTTGAAGAGGTGGTACAGCATACTCTGGTAAGTGATGTTTGCTTTATACAGTGTACAGGCCCATCAAGCAAAAATAAATCAACATTTTAAAACTAATTCACAAATCAGTTTTAACCTATTTCTCACAAACGCTGCTACTGGCAAAGGACTGTGAGGATGCCTGGTCCTTCGGGCTCCTCACCAGCCTAGCAGTCTTTTCTAGCAGCTCGCACATACTGCACGCTGTGATGGCTACGCTGTGTGGCACAGATTTTCCCAGTCAAGGTTGATTTGGAGCTGGTTTGTTTGCATTGCAGTGCTTCAGAAATACTCAGCTTTCCCTTTCCCAGAAGGCTATCCTGTCAAGAGTAGGAAAAAGAAGGCAGAAAAGAAAGGAGGAAACTAGCCAAGCAGCAACACAGAAGGCGAGCAAAGCCACAGCACGCTCCTTGAGGGGCTGCAGGCACTGCTGGGTGTGCAGCAGAGAGGACAAACTACTCCAACAGCAGTGTGATCCTGCACACTTTGAAACAGTTACATGCACACAAACAAATTACAGCGTGCTTGCTGGCCACACAAACAAAATACAGTGCGTTTGCTGTCTCCGTAATATTCCATGCAGCCAAAGTTAGCATTGCACCTCTGAGCTGTAATTCGTATTACAGTACAGCTCCTGTTTTACATGTGCGTATACAAATCATCCCGCTTCACTAATTCCACAGCCATGTCCCACCCTAGCTCTTGTACCTCCCCCTCCATGAAAGACCAGGACTTGGATTTCCCTCGCTTTGAGCAGTGAATGCAGCAGTCCTGCTCAGGAATAAAAGGAGCAAAGCTGGCACACGCACACACACACACACAGAGCAGTAAGGGGTTAGCTGCAGTTGCAAACAATTTTTTAAAAGGCCAATGACATGTCCAGATTTGGGCAGCTTTCTGCTACGTCCATCGTGAGGACAATGACGGTTTCCAAGTGTATGACAAACCTATACTGGAGCATGGGACACGTGCACACCAACTGCCAGTTCTGATCCTACTAGTGGCCTAGAGCTGAGCTCAAGCTATTTATCCTGCTTCTTGGACAGCTTTTACAGTCTTTGTCAAGTTCTTTGTAGCTACAACTAAACTGCTTCATCCAGCCGGGGCAGAACTAGCTCAAGCAAACTAGAGAGGGGCGCAGATACATGTTCTTATTCTAAACAAAATAGCCTTTCAACAAAATAATTCATCTTAAAATAAGAGAGGGATGATTATTCCCTAGCCTCACTCAAAGACACACTATATAGAACCATTTTTGATGAAAACAACTGGGTTTGGCAAAATTATCAGAGGAAAAATCAATCTCAGGGGGAATTGCTGGAGATCTCAAATATACGTAGCTCCACATTTAATATTAAAACCCTCAAAATCTCAGTTGTATTATATCTAGTATCCATATCAGTGCAAAATCAAGCACAAATCCAAAACCAGAACAAAGACTGCTATTGTCCCCGAATTAAACCGCAAGAGCTATTGGATAGCCACGGTACATTATAAACAGACCAAAAAGGTGCAGTGCATTTTCAGTAGCTAGCCTGGGCTAGTAAGACTTTTTTACTATTACTAGTTTACAGAAAGGTACTGTCTGTTCCTGAGGATTAGTGCAATCAGCCACAGCAGAAGTCAGACCAACAATTTAAACTTTGGGGTGAATCTTTTTAAATATCCAATGCTAGCTGTTTTGGCTATACCGTTCTCATTTGTGGGGGAAGGACCTTCCTGCATTACAATACAAATTCATTGTATGGAGATACACAGGGAAGACAGAATACACAATAAACATCAGAAAGTGCATCAGAGGGATCATTCCTCAGGTTTCCTTGGTAGTGTAGAGCTTAGCTCTTCTCCGCTCTGCACATCATCTCAACAGACGGTGCCTTTCAAGTTTGTTCATCGTTCATTGGATGGAGGGGGTGGTTCAAGGCTGAAAGGAAAATTATGGAGACTTTTGGGTAATCCTCCGAAGGGATTCGCCAGGGTGACAGCCACTCCCCATCACACGATGCAGCCGCACTCGTCCCTACCCAGCCCTCCAAGGACAAATGGCTGGCGAGTCAGGTGCTGGTTAGATCATCACCGACACCTACAGTTTCGAAAGGAGAGATCAAAAAGGAGATTACAGTTGTAGGTGGAGATGCAGAAAACACAAGGCTACCTTCAACTACCTCTTACTACTTGCTATCAGCTAGGCTGTATCTGAGTTTCTTATCCCACCAACTCACCCTACCACAGACAGGCGGGTCACTTCAATTCTCCAGTTAAGCCCTTACCCCTTGTAGAGCCCATTACAAAAAATAAAGCTGCTCTAACAACCAACCAGCACCTATCGCCTTCCTCACTCCCGATCACGGCATTTCTCCCTGTGCAGGAGGAATAAGAGCCTTCATCCCACTGTGCCTTTGAAGACCCACGGGCACACACTGCGCACAGAGGCAAGCACTTCATTCTTTCAGTCTTCCTTCTGCTTCACTAGAATCTAAATTTCTTCCTTAGAATTTACATTCTTTTAACTCGTTAGCCATCCTTGCTTGGACATTTAAAAGCTCCTGGTTAATACTTGACAAATCTACAGAGTTTCCTTAGAGCTCCTTAGCTGCCTCTCTCAGCTCTTTGGATCTCTCTCGTATTACCATCACAGATTTCCACCTGGATTTTCCAGGAGAGTTTACTACTCCCTATTTAGCACTCCCTAACTACTTACAAACTTTACGTCTCTTGCTTAAGCAAGGGAAGATTTTGTATACCTCCTCCTTTTCCCAAAGTGCGTTGCTGTCAAAGCTCAGGTTCATTTCTTCTTGGGGATCATGGGAGCTGTAGTCCTCTGAAAACTGAGACTGTGCTGGGCTTGTGCCCCTCCTAAAGTTGTAGAACAGTTTGTCCCTCTCGACAAAAAAAGATGTTAAACCTCACCTTTGCACAGAATGGATCCAAGTATTTTTCAGTCAAAGATACCACGTGGGATACAGCTCACAGATTCAGTTCAAACGAGGAAAGCTAGAGTAAACATGCATTTGTTAATAATGGTATGAGAAATCTAAGCACGCTGTATAATTAATACTATTGCAAAATATGACTCGGAGGAGTAAAAGCAGCAAGGAAGCTGAGTGTTACATCTAAAGCACCAAGAGAGCATCCGTGGTAGGTGGTTTGGTGGGAAAGGGTAGCCAACCTCACTAGAAGGAAGAGCTGTTTGATTTGAACAAGGCTGGATGCAATGGAGGCTGGGGCAGAACTCAGACAAGAGGAAAGTAAAACCATCGGCATATTCAGTAAGATTTGCAATTTAACAGTTACAGGTCTAATTAAGACCCACAGCTGCAGGAAACCTGAGTCTACCTCTTAAGAACAAAACCCGAGATATTTAATATGCCACAATGGAAGATTACTAGATTATCATTTCCGAAAGTAAAGCAGCAATTTCTCACAATATTAAAGCCAAATAAAGCTAGTGCCAGCATTTACCAGTTATTGGTTTGACATTATTGGGGATGTGCTGCTAAATTGCTTTGGGTTCTTGAACTGGGCCCTTGGAGTTTTTTGAGTTACATAGCAGATGATAGGTGGTGTGAATAGTACCTGAAAGGCCCTCTTTCCAAAGCACGGGGAAGGGACGCTGGTGGGACGGAAGAGAAATATACCACAGACCCCTCAGGCACAACCTTGTCTAACATTTGACACAAGCACCTTAAAGTTTGTAGTTACTTTTCCAAAGGAACAAGACGCTAGAAAGCGGTCCAAACAGCTCCACATGCTAATACGTTTGAGCTACGTGGCTCGGGGTACAATACAGATGTAATAGCACAGCACCAAAGACTGATGAGCCTTGGCTTTTACCCATTTTTGCATTATTCTTGACTGCATTCTTCCAGTCTCCTGGATAACTGTGCCGTCTGTGAGCTGCAGCAGAAGCGAGCCTGGCCCAGGCAGTCGAGACAAATGATTCTTTGTAGCTCGTTGCAGTGATGTTAAAGCTGGAACAAATTTCATTAACCAGCAATCAGAGGCAAAAACACAAGTAATGAGCTATTTTCTATTTAGAAAACAAAGATATTGGATGCTAGCTCTTGAATGTAAGTAGTGATACAAGAGGCAAGGTAAAGAAAATGCCCAGAGGAGCATGCACAAAGACTTCAACCAGAGAGTTTCACGCAGCAAATGTACCCACAGGGCCCGTTTCTCCTTTGCATGACACGTATTTTCACGGATGCAGCCCTGACCTCTCCGGTTCAGAGAAGATGAATGCCCCGGGAAGGGAAGCGGCCAGGGCAGGTCACGCACAGGGAGAGAGGAACTCCGCGGCAGCACGCGTGGAAAGCCGGGGGAGAGGGAACGATGCCAAAGGCCATCCAGCTCTCGGAGCAAATCATTCATTTCTTCCATTCCCTCCCCGTCAGTGTGGCAAAGGGCAGTTGTGAATAGGTTGTGGACACGAGCCGGTAACTTTTCCCGACAGTTTTGCAAAGCCGATTTAAATACTATTGACCCAGCCTCCCGTCTCCAGCTCAGCTTAACAGATAACCAGAGGAGTTGGGGTTTTGAAAGCTTTCTTGAGGGTAAAGCCTGCAGGAGTACAATGTCACTGCTGTCGATTTCGTCTACGTTAACAACATTTCAATTTTGCCCAGAGTCTTTAGTAAGAATTCAAATATAACTGTTGGGGTTTTAAAATATATATTTCAAAAATTGGAGCCATCCAAACTATGCAGGCCAGCACATCTTCTGCGTTTATTTTTATTCCTAATCTAGACTCTACATCAGCTGTCCTCGGGCTGGTAGCGTGAAGTACTGGAAGCCTACCAATACATATATATAAAACTTCCTTTTTGGTCCCCATTGGTAGAAGGACAGATTCTTTTTCTCTTCGAGTCACTAAAAAGTCACTGTGCAGGCTAATTCAAGACAAATGTGAACGCATGATATCTGAACAACGGATGTGAGGCTGCGTTTGAAGGAAGTATGCTAAAAGGGACTGCGTCCTAGGGGTCTTCAGTAGGAGAGAGTGCTGGCAGCCACTTGGAGAAAGGATTCTGTTACTGCCGTGGTATTTTGGGCTCCAGACTGCAATGTTTAGAATGTGCTCTGCTCAGACGGTTATGGGAGCAGCCCCTCCACCATGGCAACTAACATATGGCTTTGCATTGTTGCTAATAATCACACAACAGAAAGAAAAAGAAGTAAAAAGGAGAACGTGCTTTCATGCACAGACTATGAAAGTCTATGGCTGCATTCTCCAAGGCTGTAACCAGAAGTTATGAATTGCTAAATTGCGTGTTTTCTCTTCTCATCTAACGGAAAAAACAGTGTATACAGTTTTTGCAGATAGCCCATTTATTTTGCTGAACTACCTCGAGCTCAAGGATGCTGTTTAGTGCTAGCTGGGTACAAGCCCAACAAAGGGCCAGGGGAAATTGGCTCTTGATATAACTATTTTTGTCAGGTATGGATGAGTGCCTTTTTTGCAAGGCCACAGCACCCCCCTTCCGAATTAATGGATCTTTTGCCACAAAGGCAGACGAAATATAAGACGCACTTGCTCACGAGCTGCCAGGAAGGCTGCAGAATTTTACAGGGTTAGCAGCACAGTCCTTAGGCTGCTGTTTGGCTTCCAGACGCATCACTTCTAGCAATTTATAAGGGACCGATGCACTCGATCAGTAGTTGACCCCATCCTCAGCACTGGACACCGAGCTGGTTATGGGAGGAAGGATAGGCTGTGCACAGGTGAAGCCCACGGAGGACTTTTCAGACACACCAGCTGAAGGTATCCTGTGCCCTCGCAACGAGGCTCAGCCTCACAGGATAGAGACCAGGAGAACAGTTCTGTCTGAACGTATCCCCATCCACCCTGTGTGTTCTGGGAAGCAAGAAACCCTCTGAAACTAAAGACAACCTGCTCCAACCTCTCCTTTACATACCCAAACACACCTGCTCCGCTGCCCCTGCAGCGGGTGGCAATTTGTGTCAATGCCAGACCACCACAACGGGGTCCGGTATAGACTGAGAGACCTGAATACGCTGCGCCAAGAGAGACCATAATCACCGTCACTGGAGCACAGCAACAGATTGGGAAGGGGAGTATTGTTGTCTTCATTTTACACAGAGTGGGCTGAGATACAGAAACACGTAGGGTGTTCTGTCTTTGATTAAAGACTGGTGATTATACACGGAAATAGCTGCTGATCTCAAAATTCTAGGAAGCGCCGATTACATTGTGCCAAAGGAATAAAGAAATTTTAAGAAGAGTCACACCAGAAGCGTATCATAAATTTTTCTCTCTTGCTTTCCGTTCTCTTACTTGCAAGGCTTCTCTTATCCAGCTAGAGATGACAGAGGTGGCCGAGGGCACATCACGGGCCATGGACTGCGAAGGGCGAGCAGCCCAATGACCTGCACACAAACAATCCTGACTTGAAGATTCTTTATCCTATTTTCTCTCATAACGACAAACAGACCTGAAAAAAATAGTAGGATCAATTCACTAACCAAAGAAGGGCTAAAGCAATAATGATAAATTCAATTCCAGTGTGAATTACCTTGTGCAATATAGATTTAGTATACTGGTATTAATTTGAATTTTGGACAGCTTACCTGAATTGCATCTCCAAACCTTTTGGATAGTTGCTAATCTTTGTTACTAAAAATCATGGATCGCTTATTTAGGCGTCACGCATACAATAAGAAAAAGAAAAGATACTAAAGTACTAGAAGAGAAGAAACGAAAGTACTTACTTTATTTGCAAATCCCTCCAGTGACTCAGGTTTTATAAACCTGAAAATTAGTATTATTTATTAATTAGAAATTAATTTATAAATTGAAGGCAATAAGCAAACCCATACAATTCTTAGATGATGTGGTGTTTATTCCTCTTCCATTTCCTTTAGCTTTATCTTCCTCATTTGTCATTTCTAGTGTCAAATTGCTTGCATTCGTATCAACAGAAGATTTATGTGGGTAAACTTTGCACACACACAAAAAGTCAGTAGCCTCATAGTGAGTTACATTTGTATTGATGGCACTGACAGCCATGAACTCCTAATCTGATTGTTTTTACTTTGCAGGCTGTGATAAAGCAGCGAGCCCGGCTGTGCAATTGGCAAACGAAAGTTTACTTTATTTGCAAATCCCTCCAGTGACTCAGGTTTTATAAACCTGAAAATTAGTATTATTTATTAATTAGAAATTAATTTATAAATTGAAGGCAATAAGCAAACCCATACAATTCTTAGATGATGTGGTGTTTATTCCTCTTCCATTTCCTTTAGCTTTATCTTCCTCATTTGTCATTTCTAGTGTCAAATTGCTTGCATTCGTATCAACAGAAGATTTATGTGGGTAAACTTTGCACACACACAAAAAGTCAGTAGCCTCATAGTGAGTTACATTTGTATTGATGGCACTGACAGCCATGAACTCCTAATCTGATTGTTTTTACTTTGCAGGCTGTGATAAAGCAGCGAGCCCGGCTGTGCAATTGGCACGCTATTTTTAAGGTAACTAAAATAAGGGTGTCTTCACCCTTTTGGGGGAGAGCCGTACATCT